GAGACCTCTGTGCTAGGAACTTTCACCCCTCCCTCAACTGTTGACGTCCGCCAAAGGAAAAACAGGAAAAACTTTGGCTACCATAATATACCCTGGTCATCTTATATGTAGCCGCCGCGCAAGATATGGCCTCACAGTTCTCCATTTCTCGAGTTGGGTAGGTGGCCAGGCTACCTAGACTTTACATCGGGATGATAAGGACCAGAAGGCGGACCAAAACACCTTCCATAATTCTCAGCCTTTGAAGTGTCGATAACAATGTCCGAAATCGTTGCCTCGGCGCCCACAGACACCCCTAAGTCAAAAATACTCAAAAATGTGCGTCTCAGCATGCCCATTTGTGACCTCTTCACTCATTCGTCCCACGTCGAAGCTGCCTGTCCTCCTCAAGATGTGAAGCCCCATTGGAGCAACGGTACTCCATTGACCAAGACCAGAGCTTTTTAAATTATGACTTAATTTTCTCCTTGCGGGTATACATAGCATCGAAAATGTGTAGTGGAAGATGGCCGGTTTTTGATGAGGCAAATGCCCGATTGCAATTTGAGTAACGCCATTATCGGTTTTTGAGGCGAGGTGGTGTGGAAAACTTGAGGCGAAGGACTCGCGTGAGAATGATAGATCCGACATTGACGATGAGTCGTAGATTTTAGATGTGCTTGCAAGTGCTTTCGACTACTATTTGGATACGATTCTTCTTCGCTATCCCAGACATGCAAAGCATACTGAGCGATTACACCTGCACCACTGGAAGGTGAAGAACTCGTCTTTGCCGGTACAGCAGCTGTGGAAATTGCGTGTATGAGGAAATTTCTCACAAAACTTTTAATCTTATTCAGGTGAGGCCTAAAACTAGATTCATTTGTAATGCGTCTTTAGATTCATAGGTTTAGATGGCGCGGTCATAAACCGTCTAAGCCTTTCTCCCAAGTAGATTCCGGATAGCTTGAACCATTATCCCACTCGAAACGGGAGATCGCTGGTTCAGATCCAGCAAAACTAAGCTTCATTTCTCCCGGCGCTGATTTACGTGCATGACCAAGACATGCTTGGATGACCAAAGGTTTTGGAACGCCCCTTTGGTGGGTTCTTACAGAGGAGGATCGACCGTTTGTGTGAGCAGACATCTCGTAGTGATATACGCGAATGTAATCCAGAGTGTGAGTGTCCCTAATGTCAAGTTAGTCATCCAACATGTATACATAGCACCCATCATGTGTCATAGCTAGATAGCTAAAAGCATGTTAAATGATATAAAAGAAAGAATCTCCGCGATTCGCTCGACAAAAAGACTCTTCATTCTATAACGTACTCTCTTGGATTCAACAGGACGAGTTTAGTATTGAAAAAAATTATCACTTGAAAAATTGATTGCACCGACATAATATGATGTCCATGCTTTACACAGCGGCATGGTATTTTGTCTAACTGGCTATCCGCCTCAAGGAGGAGTAAATAACCCGCCAATCTAGATTGCACAGGAGAAATTCAAGTCCAGAAAATGGTCCAGTGCACTGCCCCGCGTCATTTCTGACCGCAGTTTCTATGGCTATTATTTTCTTGGGGAGAAGTATCCATCCGAATGGAGGCTGAATTCCACGGGTAAAGACGGAGCTGAATGGCTATCTACACTGCGCAACTTGTCGGAAATCTCATTTCGTAACAAAAGAGGATAGCAGTACTGCACAAAGTGTGGCCCAGATCAGAGAGTAGTCTTAGACTGTCTGGTTTGTTGGACTAAAGCAGCACAATAAACGGCAATCCGACTAAAAATAATCCTTTGACAGAGGGTCAATCGGTGTCATACTATGGAGCTATCAAAAACTAAAAGAAAATCCTTGATGAAATCTATACCTATTTCCCATAAGTTTAATCACTCTACAAAAGGCATCCATGAAGATCCATCTACATGCTAGGCCGAGGTATGGCTCAGTGTTTCACGTAAAGAAGACCGTATTGCATTGAAACCATATCAGGAGCAACGGCACAAACTACTTGAGGCGTTGGTTTTTGGCCTGCAAGCAATGACAACTTAAAGGTGCTATGTACTTATATGTGAATTTGTATGTGTATGTGGCTGTATAACTATGACATTCTATCAGTCTCTCTAGCGCATGTCAAATATCTCTTTTGCCTTTCAAATCATTCAAACCATTCAATCTCTAGATATCAGTTGTAAACACAACTGTGGGGTATTCTCTTTTACAAAAAACTGCCAACCCTCGTCCATGAGTAGCCGGCAGCGGGAAGTTTCAGACGTCTACCTCTTCAAGCATGCCTTTGTCATCGTATACACAAGCACCGTGAGATATACGGTCTGATGTTACTTAGTTTGGATCAGTAGTCTACTGTTACAAGTGAGATAGGTATACAAACAGCCCAGAGCCACCTCCATAGGCAAGCCGTGTCCGTGTTGATAGCGTCGCCCGCACTCTCGCATACAAATTTTTGATGCTCAAAATGCTCTTTGATTTTGTAGAATCCTTCTTTTGCGAGATTTTTTAATTTTCAGCTCAACCTTTTCCAGGTTTCCACCTTTCTTTTATGCCCTATGCAAGCATTGTCTCGCCTGATTCAGCGCCCTAGCCGTTTACTTTTGCATGTATTTGTATCGTCACACGCATACTTCTGGAGGTCATTCGAATTCGGAGATATATCCGATGAGAGGTACTCTTCTCCGACTGGGACTATCGATATCAATATTGAAGTGCAACCATAATTTTGTGGAATATTTTCTTGCTGGGGTTGAAGTGGATGGAAGCCTTGAATAGTTGCCTAGCGGACCAATTTATTTTGTATTGCAAAATTTTGATAGACATATCTCTGTAAAATATTTTACTTCCAGGCTTGTAAAGAACACCTTGGACAGGTGTTCAATTGTTGACCTCTCGTTTGGGAACATGCATGAAGGTGTTTTGCCTTCGATCTCATATATGCTGTAAACCGTTAGGCTGTGTGAGTAGGTATTGCATCAACCCAAATTGGTGTGCACGGCTCTGTGAAATTAGGTTGGCACGGCATGGTTAGAAGAAATAATGCAATCCTTGCAGGATACGAGATTACTAGAACGGAAGTTTTCTATGAATCACCACCACGAGTCGTTGCCTAGATCACTTGGATCGACAACGTTCTCACTGCAATATCCTTAATTTATCACTGCTCACTACCCCATCATATAAAAGCGTTTGAGGCGGGATTCACACATCAACTAAGCGCTTAGAGATCACCTTGGTCGTGAACCCATCGCTTGATCTCTGTTTACTGCAATACGTGTGTCCCTAGCCTGAGATAACCAATTAGCCTTCAAGTTTAGCATCTAGATTTTCAAAAGATCGGGGGTTTTATTGAAGATGATGAAAATCTGGGGCCAGAAGACCAGACAAGAATAGAGACAGTGTTTAGTCATTCATTTCCTTCTTTTGACAAGGAGACGGCAACATGACGAGCATGGGGGTCACTTCTTTATTTGAACGGATCAGGATTACGAGTACATGCCCGACAGAATATCTGGACGCCAAAACTCAAGGTATGGTACGGCGGATACATTGGCCCAGCATCTCTGCCGCATTTGTGCGAGTCGGCCACTAACTATCACTTTGAGGCGGAGGATGTGCACGGAGATGTTGGTATGTCGCAAGGTCGACCATTGGTAAGACTTTCTAGTTCCAGCCACTCGGATGATCTTATCTATATGTATATTAGTCAAGACTAATGGATAATATCGAACAACTAGATCGTTGTGTTTGAGCGGGTATGCCCGCAAGATGGGAAGCGAGAAAAGATGGCAAACGAATAAGTACCGTCTATACGGTTCAGGGGTCGGAGAGAACTTTATGCTGAATTCATTGAATTAAATGAAAATTCATTCACTAATCCACTACGTGATTTACTCTCATAATTAGCCATTCCTTAAAACGTGAATGCTCTAATCCTCAGGTTACTCCCTTTAAGTCTGTTGTGTGTCTGCTTGTCATCGTGGTGTCAGAAGCCTCTGCTACTCTTAAATTCGGGACTCAATCAGAGCAGACAGTAGTAAATCTGTCCGATGGTTCTTCGCACCCTCCTAAATTTTGATTGAGGTGTAGGGGCCTCCCTGATCAAAATGTACTTACATCAGAACCCCTGAGATGTGAGCATAGGCTAGATGCTTAGGTCTTCACCAAAATTCCAAAGAAATTCTCTAGTTGGCTAAACCTGAAACAGACATGCACAGGCCAACTAACAGCCACAAGCAAACAACTAAGCAATGCACAAGTTATGCCGTATGCATAAGAAATCTTTGCATCCACCCCTCTCCACACATCGTCTCCATGATGCCTCCTTCTCCCACTATCCACCTCCCCCCTCTTATCCCAGCCCACACAAGTTATATCCACTTCAATTGATAGACAGTCAGCCCCCTAGCTCCCGACTGCCCTAGTCCTCATCCGCCCTGGTACCCAGTCACCCCCTCCCCCACTCAACTTGCCCCCCTCCCCCATGCCATCCCATTTATCCCTTTCCCTCAATCTTTCTCCGTCCGTTATCTCGTTGAATTCCTCGCCCCTCTCCCTCCCCTCAATTCTCACACACAACATCAACGCTCATACCATCGTCCCCGTTATCCACAGCGGCAAGAGCCCACCTACTTTGTCTACCAATTACAGTAAAACCCTCAATCCCGAAGATAATTCTAGCATCGACGTTCTTTCATCTCTAAGACAATCTGAATTTGACCGCGCTTTTTCGAATACGACGCGAACAGATCTTCCACATTTAGCTCACGACGCGCCCAAATCTTCCTTCCTTGTTGTCGCCATCAAATCAGCCATTTTGATCGTCGCTACTATTGGGTTGACAGATGATAAATTTATCATTAGGTTGTAGACCTAGACTGTAGTTTTCTCGCTCACGCACGCACGCGATACCAGGCGATTCTCAACAATCGATCTGCGAGAAACAACCATCAGTTCCGCGAAACTGTATATGTCAATCGTTCAATTAGATAATCACATTCAAAAATGCCTGCCGCAATGCTGGCTAACCCCACAACCTCAACTTCGTTACGAAAATCAGCATCTTCGCTTGCGCCAGAGAAGAAATACAAATGCCAGTTCTGCAACCGTGCGTTCAGCCGTAGTGAGCACCGGAGTCGTCACGAAAGATCTCGTAAGAATTACCTTGATACTTGCTTTCAATCTGCTCCACACTAACCGTCGAAACCATGCAGATACTAAAGAACGACCATTTCAATGCCTAAAATGTCGGAGTACTTTTGTGAGGCGCGACTTGCTTCTTCGCCATGACCGAACAGTTCATGCAAAGGACGGAGGTGTTCCACTTCACAGCGACGTAAAGCGACGAGCTGGTTCAAAGCAAACATCAATGTCTAGTTCCGCAAAATCTGCGATCGCCATAGACGCTGTAGCTCTTGAACAAATAGAAGCGAGTAGCGATGGACTGGTAGACTTAGAAACAGCCGCAATGTTGATGACTGATCTCCACCACAAAGCAACAGCTGCAATGCGGAACGCCAATATTGAGACATACGAAAATAGTCCAGACCTGGCTGTTTCAGGTGCGTCTAACCTGATGGATCTATCACTGATTGCTCATTATTCAGAGTCTGTTTCCATTCCTCGCCCACCGTGGGAATTTTTAGCCGATTCCGTATCACGACCAGCGGCTATATCAACAAGTCCAAATATCTCAGCCTCACGGGATCCTTGCTCTCCACTCAACAGCACTTGCTCCAACTCTACAGAAAATTCTCGACATAATGCACCCCACAGCGCGACTGACCCTTATTTTAGTCGCTCCGGAGTAAACCCAGCGGTAACGGACGATCGATTGCTAGAATTCGGAAAAGCTTTGCCATATGATTCACCTCAGAAACTACCCAAAGAAATTGCAAGTAGAATCAGAATTTCAAGCGAAGAAGAAAGGATTTTGATACTTGACAATATTCTCAACAATGATAACGATAATGCAGTACCAGATAGCTTCCGTCTTCCCGAGCTGGCCTCCCTGAATGAATACTTGTCAACATATTTCGAACAATTTCACCACCATTTGCCTTTTCTACATCCAGCTTCATTTGAGCCTACCAAAGTATCCACTTCCTTACTGCTAGCAGTCTTATCGATAGGTGCCCTTCACGCTTTTGAGCAACAACACGCCTACATATGTCATATTGGATCTAAAGTACTTGTCAATCAATTTCTTCAGAACAAGGAAAACTTTAGCTCTAGAAAATGCCCCCTGTGGACCATGCAAAGCTCACTCCTCAATATGATTTTCGCTAGCTGGAGTGGTGATCCTAAGGGTTTAGAATGGGCATGTTCCATCAAAAGCTTATTGGCAAATATGGTCGCTGGTAATCGGTATGAACTCAAACTTAGGGTTGAAGCTCGTGAAGGCCATATGCCTAGCCCCGCAGAGTGGGTGGAAGATGAAGGCTGTAGACGAACGTACTATGCTGTCTACATTTTTTTTGGTCTCTTAACCCTGACCTACAATCACACCCCAGCCATAAGTTTTAATGAATTTGAGGACCTCTCCCTCCCGTCCACTGAAGACATGTGGAACACGACAGTAAAAGAGGAGGTTTGGGATGAAAATAGAACAAATTCGGTACCAATCCCTTCATTTATGGACGCTCACGACAACCTCTTTCAAGGCGAGACGTTACGCTACAGTGCATTTGCATCGCGCGTTATGATAAATGCTTTATTTCTAGAAGTCTGGTATCATAAGCGTAGTCCTGAAGCTCTTCAGGACGTCGTCACGGAATATAAGCTCCGACTGGCGCTAGAGTCCTGGGAAAAATCCCTAAGTCTTTACGAATCCGAGCATGATAATGCCAAGCATTGTGTATCCCACAGAGAGCATCCACTAATTTTTAACGCTATGGCTATGTTTCGGAATACCAGGGCCCGCCTCGAGGTCGACCTCAAATCAGTTCAAGAAGCGCTTCGCTACCATAATCCATATGAGGTAGCCGCTGCCATGTCTAACGCGAGGGATAAGGTCAAGCGAACGAGTGAAATGCTGAAGGTGATTCAAGAATGTTTTAACTGCATAGAAATTGCGTCGCTGCAAGGTAGTCGTTCAATGAGCCGCATATCTGCCACTACCAATTGGAGCGTTGAACATCCGCTATGTGGTCTCGATCTTATGGTAATCCTCAGTCTTTGGCTTTATCGTTTGGAAAACGATGAAGAGCCTGCCACTGACGAAGAGATGGTTATGTACAATAAAATTCGAATGCTACTAGACGGGAATCCAGACGAAAACTACGGGCCAAAGCTCAGCTCTATTGTTGCTCGATTTTGGGGAAGCTTGCTTGATGAAGCAGTCGTTTGGGGGTATGTAACTCAAGTCTCAGCCCAAATTTAATTACTGATAGAAGCAGAATCACCAGGTTAATGGGAGATTCTTTCCGCCTCCATTCTCAAGCGCTCATCGGCTATGAGGATGAGAACGATGTGTCAAACTTCTCTACACCTTCAATGACATCCCAAGGCGTTGATGAAAATGACGATTGATTCTAATAATATTTACTTTCCCCCTACAATTTTATTTGTGTTGTTTATGTACAGATCCGGTATTTATGGGGTTATTAAGGTTGAACTTTTTCAGGCCTGTCAAGATGTATTAACACTTCTTGAATCTATTTGCGGCCGGCCGGGGTATTCTTCTTCTAATTTTTTCTTATTTTCATCGCATGCGGTCTGCGAAATAATCTTCTTTTTAATAATCATGGATGCCATCTGTATGTTTTATATTTCCTTATTCGAAATGTCATTTTACTTTCTGGTCTCATTCTATCTTTTGGGCGCGTGAATCAAGAAAAGCCAGGAATACTGCAGGTGTTGGTTTTTCGCTTTGCTTCGGCGTTATCTGGTTGAGATAAAAGCCAGCAACGTCTAGAATTCTATAATCACGGAAGCAAGTGAACAAATCGTTATTTGCTGGATATTGCGGGTTTTTGTGAGCTAGGAGCTACAACAGGTTCGCGAGTGGCATGGCTTTAGGACTACAACTAAGAGTAGTAATGAATGAGTGTTTTTGCTACTTTCTAGCCCTGAGAGGCGAGTGTGAATTGGCTTGGTGATTTCTTCAATACATGATCTAAGACTTTAAGTGGCAGGAGCTAGCTATCTGACTCTCACCTTAACCGTAAGATTATCTATGAACAGCGTGAAAGTTGTCAATGATTGTTAGAAGCGCAGAGATGAGGAATATCTCCCGACTGGGATAGACTGATGTCATGCGCCTTGATTGAACAACTATGTTCGGTGTTGACTATTGGCGCCAAGGGCTTACCGAAAGACGAGCGGTACACAACGATTTTCAAAGTAGCAATTGTGAAGGTAGCACCGGGAGACCATGACTACGTAATTCAAAGTATGAACTCTTTTGCGACATGACGCCTCCGATCAACAGTTACTTCGATCGCATATTCTCTAGCAGATTCTACATTTGATGATAATAGACATTCCGAGCCAAATTCTTTGGACGAAGTTCAAATCGTGAACGCCACGACAAACCAAGCCAGAGATGATAGATTTCTTGCTTTCGACGCACGAAGACTGCTGGTCTGTTTTTGAACTTCGCACGTAATGAGATCTTTCCAACCTCGAGAAATCAGAGTGTTTGAGTCGCAGAGGCCGGCCAGGGATAGTTTGGCTACAGAACTATACAAGAATAAGAGACAACTGAGGGGGGGACAGATGACTGCCACATTTATGGTTTATATGTTTGTCAAGAGAAAGCGCATTGTTGACAGTAGATCAGAAGGGCTTGCCACAGCCGCAACTGGGGGGACAATTCTCAACACCTATCAGCGGTGTCCCCTACGAACCTCCAGCTGTCACTATAGAGTCTGCAGAGCAGAGATTGAGTAACACCGTCCTCAATTAGATCAGGATTCCCAACCAATTTCGCCGTCTGTATCGTCTTCATCTATCAGCTTATCCTTATATCGCTATTGTCATGAAGCTAACCACGATCAGGTCAGACGGCCGGGTCGAGGCCCGACAGATTACCCACCCTTGATCATGGAGGAAAATCAATCCGATAAGTATGGGGAGCCGACTCAGCACCAGATACGGAGATGGTGGATTGGAACAAGATGGCTTCGAATGTTACAGTTAAGGGAGACATAGAGGGATATGCGCATCTTAAGTGGTCCCGATGTCTAGGCCTCGCCTGGCTGGGCTGCAGGTTTTTTGAGATTTTCTAGCGCGCTTGCAGTTTTTATTACTACTATTTTTTTTTGGGTAGAAGGTTCCGTGGAAAATATGGTTGAATCCCACACTCAAATACTGAGCTGAGTTGATATCCATCATGGGTAATATATCAATGATCTATCAAGTTATAAAAGAAGATAGGAGCCCTGCAAAAGGTGTAACCTGAGTCGTTGCAGCCCAACGTGTATGATAGTCATAGACTCAAGTAACACAATATACCACACACACAGCTGCAACTGACTCTTCGATCGTCGAGCTGTTCCTTCGTGTCTGGAGCAAATCGAAGGCTGGCTCTACTGAACTACGGCCACGATATCGACAAGCACTTGAATGTATTTGCAGGGAAATATCATCAAATTTTGGCGCGAGATTCCGTATCCTGGCATGTATCGCAGGCAACTGGACAGGAGGACTGTGACGCCTTACGCTTTAATTCAAATTGGTGGAGCTTACTTATAAGTTTGGGATATCTAGTTCAGCTTGGCCAGCACTCCACTTGTGGGACCAGGGAGGAAGAGGTCGGTTGGGCGAGATTGAGGAGAACGTCGACTCGACACTGCTCGCCGTGGCTGGAGGGGGATGAGGGGTGGTTGGCGATGCAGGGTGATGTCCAGGATGTCGAGGCGACAGGGGAACAAGCGCACCTGGGCGAGTGGGTAGTGGCGACTGCAGCCAGAAGGGGTTTGCCCGGGCCGATCGTCGGTCGAGGCCACAGCGGACCAGACCGCATGAATGACGCTTGCTAGTGCTCATTTCCCGGCGCATCCCAGGAACCGCTCCCGAATCATCATGGCGGCGGTGCCATCGTCGCCCTCGGCCCAGTCGGATCCCCGCGAGCTTTGACCCAGGATCACCCCTACTCTCCGGTGACCGGCCGCCTTCTAGAAAGGACAGACGTTTAATTTCGCACTACCGCCCTTCCCGGGCACCCGTTCCTGTCGAGAAATGCGACGGCTGGACGTCTCCCTAGCTTTCCTCCTTCCCCCACCAACCCTGAACGAGGCTATTTGCATCTCACTGCTTTCACCAGTGGAGGACTGGCGCTGTCGGTCTCCTGATCCGTTGCTCCCTCGCTGCAACTGCTGCCTGAGCGGCCAAGGAGGTGCTCAGCACGTGACCGTCCTACCGCAGGTGGAAGCAAACCCGTCCGCGAGCACTGATCTCTACGCCGCCCTTCCCCACGCCCTGCGCGCGACGCTGGATCGACGAGCGGCAACCCCAGACTTTGCAAAGGCAAAGCTCCCGTCGAATGTCTGGCGGCATGCATGCGGGGAGCATAGCACAGGTAGATATTTACGCCATGTACCAACAGTCCCACGCCTGCCTCTCTTCTTCGCATCTCCACGTCTAGCCTGTCCTTGATTCTTGTCGGTGTCAGAAGCTGGCCCCTGCCACCACTTCTCAGACGCGCCCGCCCTCCCGCAGCCTCTTGCCGAGACTCTCGTAGGCGAGGCCTGACGAAGTTGTATAACCGCACGCTCCCGGCCACGGCCAATGAGCCCAAGAGGTGTACACGTAGTAGTGCCACGTGAGACTATGGGTCCGGAGCTAGACTCTTCTGGAAAACCATACGCTGGTATACTGCCATCCCATTGCGTATGTTTCGCTAGAGATATCCTCCGGTATCGAGGGGATGTGTCTCTGGATAACAATCGCTCATACCAATGCACCATCCAACTCCGACATTGTCTACGGGCCGTCCGCACATCGGACCTACTGTCTCGAGCCTAGCACCAAGTGCGTCGTTGAACAACTGATGGCAATGGTTGTCAGCAGCAAGACTTTTATCAAAATAGTCGGTTGATTGATCGTAGGGTGCGAGGGTTACATGCAGGTGCGCGATCCGATATTGCGGGGCAGGGGATCCCCCCACACACACACACATTGCTCTTCAATGAGATATTCCACATCCACCACGAGATACATGTATCCTCAAAAAGGCTTCGTTCTCTATTCGTCCACGACGCCATGCTTCGGTTATTCCCACCCCGCCAATATATTCTCGCAATGCCTCGATAAGCCTCCCGATGCCACTCGTCTGTTGAGTCGATTCGCATGCCTCTCGTCGGCCCAATCTCTAGTCTCAACTGGCCTCCAAACACATGCCCACAGCCTTTTGAACATCCTCCGGATAGACGCGAGAAATATCAGAATGTGCAGATAGAATAATGCTCAAAATTGAAACAGTCTTGGAAGAGGTGGAGTTTCAGTCTTTAGCTAGTATTCCTTCACGTCCAAGAGCATTCGTGCGTCAAAACATTTGTACACGGGAGTGCGCGCGACGCAATCAACACGGACACGGCTTGCTTATGGAGGTAGCTCTGGATAGTTTGGAAAACTATCCCACTTGTAACAGTAGACTACTGATGCAAACTAAGTAACGCTAGACTATATTGTTGGTACAATACGGTATACGCGCGTAAATAAAAGGCAATAAATAGATTCAATAAAACGATACAATAACATTCACATACATACTAAAACAGGACAGAAAGTAGCCGGTAATAACGCCGCGTTCAAGGAATGGTCAGAATCCTGGACGGGCCAGAAGAAGGAGCGACACTTGGGCCCTCGAGCGCAAGCCAATCCGGATAAGTGGAATGCTGCAAACTTAAACAACGACAAGAAAACAGGTAGACTTATGATGAACTATAGAGAGTCGCCTTTCAAAATCCACCAAAACCTTAGCAGGGCCCAGAGTAGCATTGCCACACAAGTAAGAAGCGAGCATATTGGGCTCAATACTTACTTATACAGAAGGGACGTGCCAGGAGTAGGAAAACCATGCTGCCAATGTGGATATCCGTCCCAAAATATAAAGCACATGCTGATGTCTTGTCCAAGATGGGCAAAGGGAAGAGGTGAGTTGCTACGAAAATCTACAACTCGATCTTTCGAAGCTATGGTAAATAACGTCAAAGAGATGGCAAGAACTTCACAGTGGATTCAAAAGGAAGGATGGCTAGAGCAGTTTCGGATGACCGGGGAAATCGAGGCGTTAATCAGGCGAAGGGAGGAAAATGGATACAAAGGACAAGGACGGAATCCACACTGGCAGCAACAGTGTGAGTGCACTTGCTAGAGGCAAGATCATAATCGCGTAGAGTCCAATCATACAGCTGATGAGGTTTTTGCTGCAAGCTTTCCTCCTATGTACATATTAGAGTTCGTAGACACCTGCATGGGCCCATAGGGCGCCAAATCGGGCTAAATGAAATTAAATTCAAAAATCCACATATGTATTCATTCTTTCTATCTGTTCTAATCCTCTTAGTGTCATGTAAGAATGCCAA